CCTGACTCGATGGTCTCCTGTATCTCCATGGGCATGCCTCAGAGGACATCAGCCTTTTCCACTTTGCAGAGCTCTGATGTTCCAGCGTTCATTAGGATTTCATTCTGACAAAAACATACATGGAATTAGTTTTACCCAAATAATAAATTGAGAGATGGGCCTTTGTGGGTGTCTTCACTTCTCACCCCTGGCATTATTCTGTTGCAGAGACAGCAAAGCTAGGGTCCCTTTGCAGAGTCCCCAGTTGATGGCAGATGGGTATGTTAAGCTAGCAGCTGTGAGTACACACCAAGGGAAAGACTTGGACGTGGACTGTTCTAAAAGGTAGCCTCATTCTCAGGTGCGGTTTGCATCCCTTCCCTAAGACACCACCGTCACAGCCTGGTGAACATAAACACGTTGAGTGAGTAGATTTCAATTTCATCTGCAGACTAATGGGAAGCAGATGGACAATGGTGGCCCATTTGAGGCTGGCTTCCTGCTCTGACCTCATTCAGCAAACACTTGTTGATTGAGATTTCCCAGGCCCTAGAAAATCAAGGCTCAGAGGTAGAGCCTGCCTCAAATCCTAACAAGGTAAAATGAAGTGCATCCAAGCTTTATTCCTCATAATTATAAGTCAGTGATCAAACAGGGTGTGGAAAGTGAGGAAGGGTTCCGGAAGGGGGCAGGGAGCAGATCCCAGGGCCGTGTGCCTACCAAGGGGCAGGAACTCCATTCCTCCCCTTCAACGTACACTGAACTTTGCTAAACACTCATTTTCTTAAGCTGGCTATGTCAGCTGTCCCTGTTTCTGCCCCTGCACATACTGTTCTGTCTACCTGGAATGTAGTTCTGCTACTGCTTTCCCACTTGGCAGACTGGGTGCTTGCCCTTCAAACTGATTCCAATGTCACCTATTGGAATTCAGTTTGATCTTCCTCTGCCCCCAGAGCACCTCTCCTGAAATCCAGATGCCATGGATGGTCACTGGGTCTGTCTCCCCACACGGGTGCTCAGGCATGGGCCTACTGGGTCCTGAGCCAGATCTTGCACATGGCAACTGGACCTGGTCACTGTGTTTTAGTAAGTTCTAATAAGGCAGACTGCCTAAGTAGATGTAGTCCCATGCTTGGCAGGCGGGTCGTCTACAATGGAGTTTGACCTTGACCTGCCAGTGGCAAAGCCCCTTAGAGAGGTGTGTTCTAATTTCATTTCTGTTCTAGTGTGTACTAGAAAAATGAATATTTGCATGCCTTAAGACACCTGAGAACAACTCTTAGCATGTCCCTCACCAGACAGCCCGGAACACGGTAAGGCCCAGCTGTCACCATTGAGCCCTGCCGCTGACCGTTTACCAGTCTCTTAAGTCCCAGTAGTCACCTGATGACTCTTGGCTTGACTGTAGCTCACCAGAAACTTGTCATGTGCTCTGCCCACTCAACCAGCAGCCATGGGTTTGGAGGCTCGCTACAGAGCTGGGAGGCAGGAAGGAGCTTTGAGGGACCATGCCTTCCCTTTAGTCCATAGAGGTTGGGAATTGGGGGGCTGCAGTAAAGGATGGGTTTACAAGGTCAGCCAAGGGGAAACAGGCAAACAGGCCATTAGAAGGCAGGCTTCAACATGCTGCACATGGGGGCAGACACAGACCTTCCTCTTTCTCAGCCTTGATGTGACAACTGTCACTTTGGCAATCCTTGTTCTATGGACTTCTGGAAATGAGAAGACCTAGGAACATGTCTGCTTAACAGCTACACCCAGCTCAGTCTAACAACCCAGAAGTCAATACCGCTTCTGTGTGCTGTGGGGAAAGAAACCCAGAGACCCACACAAGCCAAAACCCTCACATGACTCAGAGTCCCAGGCTCTACTCCTGGCCCTGCAGTGCCCAGCCCAGCAGGGTGCAGGTGCTACTATGTCAGTAGTGCCTGTCTGCTCTATGTTTGTTTGTGTTTTTTTTTTTTTTAATTTTGGCATGTTTCTCCAGCTCTTTTACCACAGTCAGTTAACGACCTGCTTCACGTCACATTTCTTGGCTTCCTCATTTGAAAAGCTGGAAAGAGTCCCTTACTTTTGTCTGTCCAGGTGGACACCTCCCTGGCCTTTCCTCTCTGTGTAAGCAGGCCCTTTCACCTGCTGGCCTCTTCCCTACCTGCTGCCTACAACCCTTAGAATTCACACTTAGTCACCTTGGGTCATGTACTACTTGAATCGTATTTCTGGCTGGTATTTCATTCAGACACACGTCTGAGCCTCATGGTCTGGGGTGGGGGATGTTGGTGTGAGAAGCACTGAATAACATCTTTAGGGCCCTGAGTTCCAATCCTGATGCTGCTGAAGACCCCTGAGTAGACTGAAGCTTTGGCTCCTTGCTCTGAGATTTTATTTCCCCTGCCCCGGGAAGGGCGGGAAGGGCAGGGAAGGGCAGGGTCATATCTCCATTGCTGAACAATGTGATTGTTCCCATTTTGCAGATAGGCACATAGAAGGTAGGGACACAGTGAAGCAGAGAGACCCAACCTGCTGGGAGTTTCCATGGGCTAGACTCAGGCCATTGCTTTTAGCTTCGAATCCAGAGCCATTTTCCCCCATTTGTACTGTTCCTTTCATTTAGTTTGGCCTCCTTGGCATAAGAGGGAAGGTTGGTTCCTGTCCTCCCAGAGTCTGGAGCCACCTGAAGTGCAGGCATCACTCTGCCTGGGGAATGAAACCTTGGAAAGTCAAGGCCTCTCCAACTGCGTAGAGAAGACCCTGATTCCTCTATTCTCGGACAAAAGTCTAGAAGTCAGCTGGGCAGGTTTGGGCACCCGAGACCAGGAAGTAGCCAAGTTTCCTGGGAGAAGGGTAGGTGTGTTGCCAGGAGCCAGGCAAGACATCTGAACATGAGACCCTGCCAGCATTGGCTTTGCTCTGTAGTACTCTGGGCCCAGACATGCCTGTAACCCTGTGATTTCTTCCTCTGCAGAAAGTGACGGGCCGCCTCCTGCTGGCTGTGGGAGGAGCAGTGCTCGGATCCCTGCAGTTTGGCTATAACACTGGCGTCATCAATGCGCCCCAGAAGGTAAGTACTTTGCCATCCCACCCATACATCCCCCCACATCCACACATACTCATGGTACCTCCTGGGTGTCTATCATTAACAGCAGCTGAGATCCTGCAATCGCAGGGACACAGAATGCTGGGATCTTGGTAGGCCATCTTGACTAGTTTCCCAGCCAGCACAGACATTTACAGTGATCAGTAAAGTTGCTCCTGAGGGCTCCACACCAGCTGCAGGGCGGACGGGCAGGCGGTGGGGAAAATGGTCAGTGTAGGAATGTCCCCCGGTGCCACTGAGGTGGTCAAACAGAGCTGGTGTCCAGAGTCAGTCTTTATGTTCTCACACCCCATCCAGATACAGCACAGTCCAGTTCCAGACTGAAACTGCTTCCTCCCCCTGGAGGTCCCATGTCAATTTAAGCAAACATGGCACCTTGCCCTGAGGCGCTGCAGGAGCTAGAGACCTGGCTTCCTTCTCCCCCTTGCATATCACAAATCTGTCCCCACTTGCTCTCCAGGTGTCTAGACTGGAAAGGACTCAGGCAGTTACCTACTTGTTCTGGAAGGAGAGGAGGAAAAGGGGTTAGGAACAGAAATGGAGATTGCCACAGTCCTTCCTCTACACTGGGCATTTCGCATGTGTTTATAAGGCGGGGTGGTGATTTCTATTTTATAGACCCGGAAAATGAGGCCCGGGCTGATGAAATGACCTATGGGAACAAGGTCATATACTAGTGAATGGTGGCATCTGAGGCCAAGCTCTTTGTTTCCAAAGCCTCAGGCTACCTTCCTAACCCACTCTCTTGTCGTTTAACAGTTCAGACTTTCTCAGGGATGGTGAAATAGAGTAGACAGTCCTCCTGCCGGGCTCATGCTCACTAGCCGGGCTGATGAGGCTAGACAGTGAGTGTGAGCGGCTCCCAAGACCCGGGGCCCAGCTGGGGCACCAGACTGTGTGGACTTCTTCCAAGTAGGTGGAGCTTGGCTATAGGGTCCACGCCTGGTGCTAGGTCACTAGGAAGCTTGGCTGCTGAGTCATACTGAGTTGTAGCAGCACTGATGGGATTTTTCCAGGATCTGACATGGTGACTGTGAGCCCATGCTTAGAACAAAGCCAAACCCCCTTTTTAATCAGGGCTCAGAACAGTTCTCACCAAGGTGCGTGCTTTGGAGCGGGCTCTTTCTGGGAATCTGTGCAGATGGAAGGCCTGTGAGACAAGATAGGAGGAAGCAGGGAAGTTTCCTGCACATTGGGATTCCCTCGACACCCCCAGATTCTGAAGTAATTGGTCTGGAATGCTGAGGAAGTTCCTCAACTGTTTCTGATGGGTAGCCGAAGATGAGAAGTACTGGGTTAAGCAATGTCTTAACTGTGGTCACAGTGAGTCAGTGACGTAATTAGAACTCTAAAGGCAGGATAAGGAGGAGTTTTTCCTGACACAGACAGGGTGGAGTGAGCTGGGGAGGCAGGAAGATGGATGCCCAGAGAGCTACATCCTCTGAAGGATGGATATTCTGGCATGTCAGGAAGATGGACTAGGGGAGAAGAGAAGTTGGATATTCACAGCAAGCCAGAACTGAACCACTATAGTCTTTGCATGAGGTCTTTGCATGAGTAAATTGGACCTGCAACATAGCTAGCCCCCAACTTGGCATGGTACAGCCAGGTGGACAGATGAAGGTTACCATGAGGGCCTTCAAGCCCATAGAGGACAGGCCTGATCAGGTCTGCATCTTTGGAAGTATTCAGGCACCTGGAGTGATGGGATGAATCCGAGAGTGAGCTGGGGTCAGACACTTCATGGATTAGTGGCGTAAGAACAAAGGCTGGGTACTGGAGAGATGGCTCAGTGTAAAAGGTGCCTGCCACCAAGCCTAACAACCTGAATTCAGTCCCCAGGACTCAAATGGTAGAAGACAAGAAAAGATTCCTATAAGTTGTCCTCTGATCACCACATACATGTCAGAAAACACACGTATCCTCCCACACACAAAAAAATATTATTTTTTTTTAATCTGGGAAGGAGAGATAGACAGGATTTAGTTAAAATCAGTTCAATATGAGAACATGAGGGAGAGAGGGGTTCAAAAATGACTTTCCCATTTCTGGTTTAGGGAGGAGCTAGTAGGTGCGAGGTGGCAGGAATTGGTTTGCTGTCCATCCTTGAAGATGTGCAGAGGTGTGCGTGCATCCGAGTTGGCTTCTTGGACACAAGACTTGAGTGATTGAACGATGGTCCCTGCTATCCAGATGGGCATGGGGGAGGGTCTGTGAAGTAAAGAGAGCAAAGGTTTAGCTCATCAGGCTATTTCCAGTGACAGATGGAGAGGGCCCTAGGGAGAGGACACGGCACCTAAAGCCATAGAGGCATGCCGGGCATGGTGATGCACACCTAGACTCCCAGCAGGCATTGAGACTTGAGGAGACTTGGCCGGCATGGCTGGAAGGCTTACAGAAGGTTGTTGCTAGTGTTGGGATTTTTTTGTTTTTATTCCAGATTTCATTTACAAACATGAGGTAAGGCATCAGTAGAGGGGAAGAGGGAAAAGCTAAGGGGGTAAGTGCAGGGAGCCTGTAGCAGCTACCGTGTTGAACAGGAGCCTGGGAGACTGCTCTTAGCAAGGAGGGACAAGATACTTCTGAAGATGTGAATTAGTTTGTCTGCCTTGGAGGCTTCCTAGCTAGTAAGAAACGGTGGAAGGCCAGTGCTAGGATGGAGGTGACCATGGTGTCAGAGGACAGGTAAGCCACACAGAGGGCCCAGACAGTGAACTGCACCCATGAGAGCAGTCAGGGACACCTGTTGTCCAAAGGTCACCTTAGGAGCCAGACTTGGGGGAGTGCCATTCTGTGCCAAACATAGTGATGTTAGTCTGTCCTTTTCTGCACTTTGCAGACACTTCTCACCAGCTTGGCAGGCTGAAATTTTTCCAAGCAGGTTATTTATCATATGAACAGAGGATCGAAGTATGCAAGAGTAGGACACACGGGTTGCTCAGCCAGCATGTAGCACACAGAGTAGCCACCATGCTTGGGTAAATTTGATTCCATTGCCCAAGGAAGGCACAGTGATTTGATTCTGCCAGCACTGGCATTCAACAAGGACTTATCCAGAACCCTCTCTGCCAGACCCTGCGCTCTGCAGCAAGGAGACGTGGCTATGACACCACAGAACACATTCTGGTTTCTAAAGTCACCCCATCTAGAGGCATGGGGGAGACCTTAAGAAAAGGAGGGTGTGGGGATCTGTGAGGGGTGGTTCCAGGACCCCACGTGGAATAGCACCGTACAGCCCAAATCATGTACATCATTACTCTCACTCACTCATCCTGGATTACCTGCATCTGAGACCACATAGATGTTGTTGTCAGTGTTTGCCAGTGTTTAGGGATTAATGACAAAACAGTCTGCATACAGTCAGCACAGATGCAGTTTTCCTTACAAATATTTATGTTCCCCAGCTAGTGGAACCCACAGATTTCAAAAGAAAAGGAGAGGTTGGGGCGGGCAGCACCACAGGCACTTTATGAAGGATTTGGCACACAAACCTGGAAAGGGTAGGTTGGGCCTGCAGCGAGGAGGGCCAGATCCCCAGGCAAAACGTGTGTAAGGACTTGGTCCCCTGATGTGCATCTGTCCATCTGCACTGGGCACTCCAGCTTCCCAGGTCTGTTCCAAGTATTTCTCTTAGGGATCGGCTGGGTGGCCATGCTCTTGAAGCTTTGCCCACAGTGAGTAGAAATTACTCCACTCATCACCAGCAGTTTGTTCTTTGCCATAAACCAGACCTGAAAGGCTTCTACCCGGAAGTGGTAATTAATCATGATATTATATCTTAAATGTTTATAAAGCACTTGCCCTCAAATTACCTCCTCTCCCAGCACCTTGTAAGCCTGGCAGGCAAGGCTGGCTTCCTTTTTGTGGATGAGGAAACCAAGGCTGGGAAAAGGCACCCAGAGAGTGAAGGGGCTGGGCTCCTGGCCAATCTCTCTAAGATGAGGTGGAAAAGGTGAGCCTGGCCATGGGAAGCCAGTGACTGCACAGTGTCACCCTGAATGCTACCCTGGACTGAATACACAGTGCCTCTCCATTTGATGAGGGCCAAGACCCAGCACATCTGAGAAGGAGGCACCCGTGGAACCCGGAGAGGCTGTTGGGAGGGACCTGACGTCAGCTTAGCGCGTCTTGTTTGGCAAGGGAGGATCCTGGTATGCAGAGGAAGTGTGGTTCTCATCGTAACCTCATCAAGTAGGCACCGTAACCCCATTTTCTAAGTGAAGAAACGACACCAAAGACACACACAGCCAGCCTACAGTAGAGCTGGAGTTTGAATCCAGAGAGACTGGTTCTGCTGTATGCTCAGCCTTTGTGAGAGACAGGCACTGAGAAAGGGTGGCATCTAAACATATTCTCTTTCCCTGTCTCCTCCCACCCCCCAGGCTGGCCTTGAACTCACACAGATCCCCGCCTCTGCCTCTGGACCCTTTCTCACAGTTGTCACACTACTGGCCCACTGTGCTCTGAGCTCAGATCTGAGTCAAGCTCAGTCATGTACAGATACCTCAAGAACTTCCCACACAGCTCTTACACAATCTCTCACACCGTCACAGCCCATCATTGCAAGCCCCCTTGGTTCCCTGTGCCCAGCACCAGTGACATGTGTCAGATCATGCTGGTTTGTTCTAGATCACAGTGCCTTCTAGTCAGCTGTCTGAAGACAGCGAGAGAAACATGGATGGCACAGTCGGGGCAGAGGTGGCAGCTGGCCCTGTTTCCTCAGCTTTAGCATCATGAGGACTTTGCACTGAGTAGTTCTTTGGTGTTTATTGTGATGGGCTCTGCTGTATTCAGTAGGATACCAGCAGGCATTGTAGACATGACAGACGTTCTCTGAGGGGCAGATTAACTTGGTTTGAAAACCCCTCTAATGGAAGAAGGGGTGCTGGCCAGGAGGACGTCCCAGAGGGGACTCGAATTCCCCAAAAGGTGATCAGATGGAAGGGAAAGAACACTTGGAGATGTGGGGTCACTGCCCAGAAAGGATGTGAGTCATAGTGCTGGTGAAGGGACACTTCGTCCTGGGACGGCTCTGCCTGCTGCTGCTGCCACAGGGAGGCAAAGGGCTGTGTCTACATGGGAAGTCCTGCGGGCTGTGGAGCAGGGAAGGGCAGAGGCCTGTCCTTGGCGAGGAGGAAGGCCTCTTCTGGATCTTCTGAAGCAGCCTGCATGGTCTGACTCTGCTTCTAGCTTTAACCTGAGCCTCTTCCTCCCCGGCTTCAGAGAGGGGCCTCTGGGCATACAGTAGGTGGACTGACTGCCTGTCCAGACCCACCTGGAACATCTGGCCCCGGGTTCACAACTGACCTTTGGGTGTAGCTGCATTGTTACAGAGACGAGCTCTGGGCTGAGGGACTGGAGGAGAGATGCAGGGCCATCGTTCTGGGAAGATGAGAGGCTGGGAGTAGGGGGTCAAGGCCAGGCCGAGAGACTGAGCGGGACAGTCTGACCTCTCTGTCCTTGTAAGAAGAGTGGGAAGGCTGCGGCCTTATCCCCTTTATTCCCATAGAACATGGAAGAAAGAGCTAGAATGTGGGAGAAGACTTGGGCCTGAAAGTACAGTGTCCAAAGGATGGGTTCTGAGAGCAGCCAGAGGCCTCTGCAGCAGTCTAGAATCCTAGGTCAGGTCAGCAGGATGGATGACCAAGCTAGCCAGCACCCATGTTTATGTAGCCAGTGAGCCAAAATGGGATTCATACCTTGAACGTATTGAAAGAAGCAAGTGACAGAGGCTGTGTGTGGCTTCAGACTAACCCTTTACATAAACATTTCCTCTCACAACTCTGGATTGATTTGCCTTGCAAGCTCCCCACAATTAGAAACTCCACTCCTGAGGTGGGGAGCCTCTTTCTCAGAAACCTAGGAACCTGGGTTTCTGCCCTCTTGGGCCACAGAGCCACTGGGGCCCCTGAGTCAGTGTTTCCTGGGGCTCTTCTTGCCCTGTATAGTTACATGACAGTCGTCTGCCCTCGCAATGTGGGCTGGGGCCCTAAGTCACATGCTCCTCTGTAGTTTATGTATTTGTTTGAGTCTCTTGGTTCTCATTTTTTTGTTGGATTTGCTTGTTTTTGCTGTTCTAGGGCTTGAACCTTAGGGTCTAGTGTATGGTAGGTAAGTATTCTTCAGTCTAGTCTCACACCCTAGCCCCCTCCAGATTCTCTTTGAAAGGTGGCTTCTCTCCTTGGGAGCAACAGTGACATCAGTAACGGTTTCTCCTGTGTAGTCTACGTGTTCTGCCTCACGTCCCTTGACACCACCCACCACCAGAGAGAGGAAGTGAGCACTTCCTCCATAGAGGGCAGGCATGCTCACCCACAGTTGTCTGGCCTGGTAAGAGTGTGACCTTGGGATTCCCAATATGCCCTTGTGCATGTGCAGCTTCTTCCCCTGATCCCTAGGGAGCTGCCTGGTGAGGAATAGCTTTTTCTTGTAAGCTGTCCAAGCCCAAGGACCCCAACTGCACATATGGGCCTGGGTGCTGTCTACACTAACCAAAAGTATCACTAGGACTTCAGTTCTCGTGACAGGCCAGGTCCGTGACAGGTCTTTCAACTGACTGGGATCCTCCCTTTCTCCTCAACATGAACCCATGAAGAAATGGTTTCACATTTTATTTTTGTTTGCTTTTATTTTACCCATATGTCTGTGTAACATGTGCTCATGTAGGCTAGAAAGGAGCCTAGATCCCCTAGAACTGGCATTACAGATGGTTGTGGGCTGTTATTGGGTGCTGGGAGGCAGAGGCAGATATATGGATATGGATTCCTGTGAGTTCAAGACCAGCCTGGTCTATGGAGTGAGTTCTAGGACAGCTAGGGCTGTTACACAACAAAACACGGTCTCAAAAAGGGCAAGAGAGAGAGGCAAATGAGCCATATGTGGCTTTAGACACTTTTGAATAGGCCTACTTAACCTAAACTGTTGCCTGTTCCTGCTATAGACCAGTTTGCTTCCAATGTTCCCGGGGAGGAGTGGAGAGCCGTGCTAGTTTGTTAGCCTGTAACAGAGCACAGGTTAGACCTGAGGCAGATGCTGTACAGGATTCTGCAGACCTGGAATGGTGGGGTGGGGCAGTGGCAGCTTTGGAGATGGCTCTTGGGCTTGTGATTGGCACAAGGGTTAGGAGCCTTCGGGACAGGCAGCTGCTGCTCCTCACCTCAAACATAGGCTGGGGCTGAGGAGGCTGTTCCATGGGTCCTATGAGGGGAGCAGGCACTCTGTCTCTGGGGGACGCCTTCACTCTCCCAGGGTGATCCTGAGGGCAATGGCTGAATGGAAAAGAAGGTAACCTTAGAAGTTTTTCTCATACAGAATTAGGATTCTCTGGGGCCGCTCTTTCCTGAGCCAAGTGTCAGCTTGGAGCCCCATATGGACCCCTCCAAAAGGAGTCTCCAGCGGCAGAGGACTAGAAAGCCCGGGACACAGTTTCTGATTCTGAGCAGAAGCTCACTGTTCAGACTCTGCTGTCCCTGACTGTGGGGCTACTGGTGCTTGAAGTATAGGAAGCTGGCTGCCCGTACTTCTTCATGCTCAACAGAGAGACTTAGCAGCGTAGAGCTGGGAGAGTAGTGTGAACTTTGGCTCACAGCTCACAGTCCAGCCAGGGACCAGCCAGGATGTGGGAGAGCTTGCGAGCGTCTCATCACTCAGAGTTGCCTCTCCCTGCACTGTGAGGTGAGCTAAAGCCTGAGCTGTGGGAAGAGAAGCTCGGTGCCCATCCTTAAGTTCCATCTGGGCAGTTTAACTTCCCTTTTCAGCACAGATCCACTGTTTCCACACAGTCCAGATAAGATCCAGTACCTGACTTCAAAAATTAGTTTTTAGTTGTGCCTTTAATGCCAGTACTCAGGAAGCAGAGGCAGGTGGATTTTTGAGTTCAAGGACAGTCTGGTGTCTATATAGAGAATTCCAGGACAACCAGGGCTGCATAGAAAAACTGCCTCAAAAAATTATTAGTTGATTTTTTTTTGTTTTAAATGTTTATGAGTGTTTTGCCTACAGGGACATCAATAGCTTTAAATTCTACTTTGTGGGTCTGCTTGGTCACCCTGAATGACCAAAGGGAAAGAGTCCTAATTCCCAGTTGTGGGCCCTGGAGAAGGAATCGTCATTTATCTATAGGACTCCCTTACTCAGAACGCCTTGTTCTCTGCAGAGCCTGATAAACAGGGCCTTGCCATTCCTGCAGTTCTCTGGGGTGTGTTAGCCCTTGAAGAGCACAAGCACTTTGTTTTGTTCTTCGGAGTCAGCCTGGTCTCTGCCCCTGTAGGGCCAAGAGTTTCTAGGAAGAGAACCTAAGACCCTTTTGTTGACCCAAGGTATCCCTACCACTGGCTGTGGCCCCTGACAAACTCCTGGGGGTCTGGAAATCTCTAGGCTAGATCTCAAAAGCAGGAGTCACAGCAGGGAGGGACGTAAAATGTAGACAATGGCTGTCAGAAAGGAGGCTGGATTAACGGAACATGACTCTTGATGTTAAATTGTACCAGGAAAGTATAGTCAAAAATGACTTTCACTGAACTGGGGCCAGTACTGTGTGCAGTAGGTACCATAAGTATGTTTCCTCAGTTTCTCCTAGTATTGGAAAGGAGGCAGTCACGTGCCACATACAGACTGTGTGTGTTCACAGTGGCCGTCATGTAATACCATAACAGCTGGAAAGTAGCTCAGTGCTAGAGCCCTTGACCAGCATGTACAAAGCCCTGAGTTTATCCCTAGCACCACAGAACAAAGCCATGTAGAAAATATTCCTGTGGTCTAGAAACATCGGCATACCATCATTGCTCTCAAGCCTGTAAATGTACCCACCATGCTACCAGTTTAACCCAGGGCTGTGGATGTAGCACCGTGGAAGAGCCCTTGCCTCACATGCTCAGTCTTCACTACACAGAAATAAAGTATTTAGCACACATGGTTATGTACAAAGAACAATACCATATATAGTGATGGCAATAGGAACTAGAGAGAGGCCTCAGTGGTACGGAGCACAATTGCGCTTACAGAGAACCCGAGTTTAGTTCCCAGCACCCATACCAGGTAGCTGACAACTTCCTGTAACTCCAGCTCCTAGGGATCTGATACTCTTCTGGCTCACATAAGCACAAGCGCACGCGCGTACACACACACACACACACACACACACACACACACACACACACACACACACACATATATGCACATACAGATACATAAATACAATTTAAAAGACATTTAAAAATGATAAAATGACAATAGAGGTAGCTATTATGTTATCTAGTTTTCCTTTATCATAATTTCACAGTGAGTTCCTTCTACATGCTAGAACAGCCTGCCCTGAGACAGCCTGCTGGGCTGTGCAGAAGCATCCTGGTGTATCTCATGTTTGCTATCTCAATTGCATCAAGAGCCCCTGAATAACCCACACCATTTGGGTTTATTCTAAATGCACTCTGATGTTTGCATAATGGAATCGCCTGATCACATTTCTTAGAATGTACCTCCATTAAGTGATGCATGATTGCAGTGCTGAAGTCAGTGGTGAGGAAGAGGCAGAAAGAAGTCAGAGCTGCTGGAACTTGCCCACAGTCAACCTGGAGCAAAGGAATAGTCCTGGGGTCAAAACTTGATTGTGTATCCACTTGAAACTAGGTTCTGCACCATCTGGCCTCCCTTTTTTACAACAGACAAGTGTGGGCTCTTTGGATCCTTTTCCCAGTCAGTCTATCCTAAACCCTGGAGCCTGGCTCTGTCAGGCTTCTGGACTTGCACACACAAATCATGACAGCAGGGCGGGCCCGGGTCCAGTGGGTACCCCACCCTTGCCCCACCCCACACCCTTTTCCTTTGGCAAGAGCGCTGTCCATCCTTTCTGCTATGCTTCAGTGTTTAGAATCAGGACTTGAAGCAATGACTATAGAGAGAGTATATGCTGCTCTGTGTGCAGACTCTTGTAGTGTGCACCTGGGCAGGGAATGCCTTGTGTCGGTGTGGAATTGTGTAAGAGTTGCAGGTGATAAGGGTGGAGGAGGGGTTGTGACTGCCCAAAACTGAGAGCCTTGTGAATAAAATACAATCCAGGCACTGCCACTCACACCTATGATTGTAACATTCAGGAGGCTGAAGCAGGAGGATTACTATGAGCTCCCGAGACCCTGTTTCAAAGAGAAAGAAAGTGAAGAGAAAAAAGTATAATGTGTGTCATGTCAGGGCGTGTACACAGAAAGTTGTTTCTCTGTACGTACTGGGGCCTGTCAATGGCTGCATGTGTGCTGGGTGGCCCTGGGTGTTGTCAGTGTTGCCTGACAGTGTGGTGAGTGTGTCAGAACCAGTGCCACCTGCCTACGGCCACATCCTTGGCACCAGTTTAGGCCCTCCCCGGTGTGGGGGCAGGGCTAGTGAGCAGGCTCACAGCAGGACACATGTCTCCAGTTCCTGGAACCACTTCCTTGCCCAGGGCCATTCCCTGAACCTCCCAGCTGAGCACTTAGAAAGGGAAGAAGGCCATGGTTCCTTCAAGGTGGCATTCCCAGCCAGCCACAGGGAAGCTGGCCTAGGAGACAGAATGTGACAGTGTGCCTTAGAGCATGTCCTCTCGTCCTCCAGGCTCAAAATGCAGTCAGTGAGTGTGTACTTCCCACAGGCCCTCAGGATGGCAGAACCTGTCTGTCCAGCTGTGCTTCCTCCCCCACTGGGGGTTGGGAGAGAGCCCGGGGCCTGCAGCTGTGGCCTAGAGTGTACAGGGAGCCATCTGAAATGGAGCAAACGGGCAGATGCGTTTTCCCTGTTCCTTCCTGATCTGTGCCCAAACTGGATCTGTCATCCTTGGCCATCTTCCCTAGCAAGTCTTGAGCGCCTTGGGAGAAGTTCTCTTCTCCAAGAAAAAAACTGAACCCGCATAAAGGGAAGAAACAGGTGAAGAACACTTTGCAGAAGAGCTAAACCCTAGTGTCTTGTGGAGCAGCCCCTCTGTGTGGAGGGGCCACTCACCCAGAACCTTCTCCCTGCAGGTAATCGAGGAGTTCTACAACCAGACATGGGTCCACCGCTATGGAGAGCCCATCGTGCCCACCACGCTCACCACGCTCTGGTCCCTCTCGGTGGCCATCTTCTCCGTAGGAGGCATGATTGGTTCCTTCTCTGTGGGTCTCTTTGTTAATCGCTTTGGCAGGTAAGCAGGAAAGGCCCCGGCCCTGCCTTGGGGAACCCATACCATCCTGCCCAGGGAGTTCTGGGCGGAAGCTGGGTGGCAGAGATAGCCTGACCAGCCTCATCCCTGGGGAGTCTGGGGGTCCTCGGAACCGGCTGACCTGTGACCTGCCCCCAGGCGGAACTCCATGCTGATGATGAACCTATTGGCCTTTGTGTCTGCTGTGCTCATGGGCTTCTCCAAACTGGGCAAGTCTTTTGAGATGCTGATCCTGGGCCGCTTCATCATTGGAGTGTACTGTGGCCTGACCACTGGCTTTGTGCCCATGTATGTGGGAGAAGTGTCTCCCACAGCTCTTCGTGGAGCCCTAGGCACGCTGCACCAGCTGGGCATCGTCATTGGCATCCTCATAGCCCAGGTAAGCCAGCTCTGGGTCTGCCCACCCAGCACTGCCTCTGCCCATAGCTCTGGCCTCAGGTCACAGTCCAGCAGAGCAGAGCACACATAGCCTCCACCCCGCACCAGCCTAACAGCATAGTCCTTGGCCTTCTCATCGCCTTTCATCACAGGGGCCCCACTTCAATGTGCTGGACTCTTGGGCCTCCAGGCCTATAAGCCTTCATGCATGCTGTACCTTTTCTCCTCAAGGCTCCTCCATCCCATCATTTAATCCTCCTGTAGCTCAGGAACAATCCCCACCAGCTGTGTTAGACCCATTTCCGTGTGGCCTTGTCCTTGTAGTAATTTGAGCTAGTTTTACAGATGAGCAACAGGCTCATCAAGGTCTTCCTCTCTCCTAGCAGCTGGTGGGCAGGAAAAGCAGCTTGGTGAGTGGGATGGGTGCTTGAGTGTGGCTGGGGCAGGGGCACTCACGGTCCCTGGTTTCTTTTTCCAGGTGTTCGGCCTGGACTCCATTATGGGCAATGCAGACTTGTGGCCTCTGCTGCTCAGTATCATCTTCATCCCAGCCCTGCTACAGTGTATCCTGCTGCCCTTCTGCCCCGAGAGCCCCCGCTTCCTGCTCATCAATCGCAACGAGGAGAACCGGGCCAAGAGTGGTACGGGCTGGGCCCTGCCCTCCTCCCTGCCCCCCTGAGCTCAGTCCTTTGTCCCCGCTCTGAGCCACCCCGCCTTCCCTTCGGTCCCACCAGTGCTGAAGAAGCTTCGAGGGACAGCCGATGTGACCCGAGACCTGCAGGAGATGAAAGAAGAGGGTCGGCA